GATCGTGTTTGCTGGAATCGAGTCTTGCAGGCAGCAGCCCAGCGCAACTTCCCGACGGCGCTCAACAGGCTCTGTCTTGCTATGCGCTACCCGCCAAGGCGCATCTGGCGGGGGTCGCCACACTCCTACGCGGTGCAGGTCCAACGAAGAGTGCTCCCAGGATGCTCGGTGGCAGTGTTTCTGCTCCAGGTGGTCACGATGCTCCCGTTCCATGTCTCTGAGGAATCCTTCGAGGCAGACCCTGTGCGTCATTCTCTGAACATCACCGCTGAAGGTGGCGGCGGCAGTGCAGGATATGGAACAAGTAACAGTGCGAAACCGCCAGAGGTTGGCAGCAGCACTCAGAGCTCTGGATCTCCCCACTGCTCAGGACAAGGCCCAACCCATGTCGTTTGAAACTGGAACTGCCGATCATGTTGCCCGACATGTTCGCCATCATGGGCTACAGTCCACCACTGTGCTCGAGGTCTTGGGCGTGGAATCACGAGGCGGGGGCCGCCTCCAATGCGCGTGGGTGCGAAGGAGGACGAAGAAGCTATCGCATCGACTCCCTCACTAAAAAAATCGGCAGCCAAGGCGCGATCTGGCAGGGCAATAGCTCAGCCGCCCATTGGGCCAGCGGTGCTATACGAGGTTCAGGTCGTTGGCGCCTCGAGCACAAGGCTACAATCCATGATGAAGATGGCCTGCGTCGGCTGGCACAGAACTCCCGCAGGCACTTCAACACGACTTGCATCCCAACTAGAACAGCGGCGCGATCAACACCCAGAAATCTTCGCCTTGGCAGACCCTCTGTACCTGTGGGCCCCGATGGCGCTCGGCCCGGCGATCCCGCTCGGGGGTCATGCTTGGCAGCGCCGCAGATTGGATATCCTGCCCAAATCGAAGGATGTCACTGGGCCAGCTGGAGCAAGGTGTAGTATTCTGCAGCAACTTCGCTGGCGAGTGCGCTCGCTCTTCCTGTGGTCGACGGCATCAGGGATTGAACTGGATCGCCCCGCGGTCTCAGCCAGTTGGGTTCGCACGCGGGCCGGGCGAGCTTCCAACAGCGTGAAGTGGGGGGAGTGGGCCACGCGCGTGGATCACGCACCTGAGCTCGACCTATCTCGACGGGCTCCATGGGGATGATGGTTGGAACCATTGCAGCTGCTTCTGGCACCTCGCGACCAAGCTCGACACTGGAAGTTGCCAGCTCGTGCATGGGCGGCCTTGCGCAAAACCGTAATTGGAGGACAACGGTCGCAAGCAAGGCTCAACATGTTTGGCTACGCGAACCATTTCTCTTGTCTTCATTGCGTCAACTACAGCAGGCTTCCATGGACGCACAGCATCCACTGGGCAGAACTGAGGACGCACGCGGACGGCGTCTTGCTCCTCACCTACAGCCCCCACAGAGCAGGACCGATGATGCACTCGAACGGCGTTTTGATCCTCGCCGTCAGCCTCCACAGGGCAGGACCGAGGATGCACGCGAACGGCGCTTTGCTCCTCACCTAAAGCCTCCCCAGAGCAGGACCGAGAATGCACTTGAATCGCAGTTTGATCCGCGCCTTCAGCCTCCACAGAGCAGGACCGATGATGCACTTGAACAGTGTTTTGTTCCTCACCTACAACCTCCAAAAAGCAGGACCGAGGATGCGCGTGAACGGCGCTTTGCTCCTCACCTACAGCCTCCACAGGGCAGAACCGAGGATGCACGCGAACGGTGCTTTGCTCCTCACCTACAGCCTCCACAGAGCAGGACCGAAGATGCACTTGAACTGCGTTTTGGTCTTCGCCTACACCCTCCGCAGCTCTCGACGCCGGCTGCGGCTACTGCCTCTGCGGCTTCAGCGCCGCCGAGGACTGCGGACATGATGGATGATGCTGTCGAGGTCCCCCCCCCTGCATCGTCGGTGGTGGGTCTGCAAGAACCTCGGAGAAAAGCGCGTGCTGGCAGCCGACCTGGCACGCCCTCATCTCACGTGATCGTCTCTTCCTCACCTGCGCGAATCTTGGAGATGCGCGCGGTGGCCAACGCGAGCAGATCACGGGCGAGATCTACACAGACGGCGCTGGACGCACTCACACTGGATGGCCAGAGGGAGAACGTGCAGATTTGGGGCTAGCTTTGATGCAAGGCCAACGACTCCGAGGTTTAGCATTGGACCGTTTCCAGGAACTCAACAGATAGTACCTCGTTCCGAGATGTACGCGGTGATCATGGCATTGAAGCATGGACTTCTGCCCATGCACATTCACATAGGTTGCACTGTGATCGTCCATGAGCAGAAACATAGCACTCAGTGGCGTCTTCACCGGCGCCGCCCGAACGTGGACTTCTGGCCAGAAGTTTGGGGGCTCATTGATGACAACGGCGGGCTAAGCGACGACCTGACCGTCACCCACGTCAAGTCACATCAAACTCAGGAAGACAGTCGGCACCCCCATTGTAAGAAAGACAAGTATTACGCAGGTGTGGCGGCCAAGAGGGCGCTGGCAAATCATGGCATCAGTCCAGCAGCGCGTCGCCAGCCCAAACGTCTGTTGGAACTAATGCGTCAGACTGCGTCCTGGATCGACAACACACAGGAGCTGCTCGAGACCCGACCTGGCCAAGTTCCACCTGTGGAACGGAACGCGCGACGAGCCCAGAGACGAGTTCGAGAGCTTCGCCGAACCCGTCGTACCGATGCGCGCGCCGCTGCTCCACCTCCTGTCCTTCCAGGGCGCCAGCAGTACCATGTGATTGAACGCGCCTCGTGCGGATGGAGGTGCATCAATCGCCCGCGCTTCGCGCGAACCTCCAAGGGCCGATACCTCATGCGTAGGCAAGCGTGTTCGGTCAGGCCCAAGAATCGAGACCACTAGTGCCCCGCCTGCCCATATGGGAGCTTGCTGAGCCACCGCTGGGCCCACGGAGCTAGGGGGCCAAGAGGCCCGCAGAAGAGAGCCCTGACCAGGCCAGGGCGGTCCGACCCAGGGTGGGGCCCGACTCTTCTCCCTCCTCGGGCCCTCCCTCTGAGCCTCCTCCTCCTCCTCCTCGCAGAATCTTGTCAGGCCCCTGGGGGAGCTGGCGGAGCCTTTTTTTCTTGGGCGAGTGCAGCCTCGGGCCAGGTTCGACACCCGCCCGCAAGGGGTCGCGCGCGCGGCTGCCGCGGCGGGCCGCGAGTAGCTCTCCCGGCATGATGCCTCCTGCCGCGCGCGAGGGGGCTCGCCCCGACTTCGTCCGCGGGGTCGGTTCCACTGGGGAGCTCTCAGCGCCGGCTCGGAGAAGCGCCCCCGCTCGGGTGACCCCTCGCGGGCCTCGGCCGCCCCTCCCAGCAGAGCGCCCCCCGCCGATGGGTTCGTTCTGCCATGGGCCGCCAGGGGTCCCATTTTATATAGGGCTGGAAACGGAAGTGGATGCGCCAGATGCGGGTCTTTCAAAGAGCGAGCTGCCAGGTCACAGTTCATGAGCCAGCGAGACCCCGCCTGTCTCAAAGATAACCCACAGCGTCGGCGGCGCCGAGATAACTTAGAATGCAACTCATGGGAAGCCTTCGTGACGCCTGCGCGCCTGGATAGCGTTCGACAGCGTTGCGATAGCGTTGCTCGCGCGCGTGGATAGCGCTCGATAGCGTTGCGATTGCGTCCCTCGCGCGCCTGGATAGCGCTCGATGCCGCCTGATCGCGCTCGTCCCCGGCGCCAGCGACAGAAGCTTGAGCACGGGGAAGGATCCCAGCAGCGGTGGCAGCAACAGCGCTGCAACGTCGCGGCAACGCAGCGCCTGCGCGCACCGCCTGCGCGCACCACAGCGCACGCGTGCACCGCAACATTTGCGTGCACCACAACGCTTGCGCGCACCATGGCGCGTCCGTGCACCGCAGTTCCTGCTTGCACGGCTGCGCTTGCGTGCACCACAACGCGCACGTGCACCGCAACGCCAGCCTGCGCACGCCACAGCGCCAGCGTGCACCGCAACGCTTGCGTGCACCGCAGCGCCGCCTGCGCGCACCACAGCGCCTGCGTGCACCGCGCCGCCTGCGTGCACCGCAGCGCCTGCGCGCACCGCAGCGCTTGCGGGCACCGCCGCAGAGACGGCGCTGCACCACGCGCGCTGCGGTCGCAATTATTGCCTGTTCCACAATACTCGCGCTGAACTAAACATTCGCAACACGCGGCGCGCAAAGAACTACGAGAAGGTTTGAGCCAAAATGGCAACGGAAACCGTTCCTCCACCGTGCCCTCCTCCGCCTCGTCCTCGTCGTCCCCCCGCCCGTTCCTCGCCCTGCCCGGCGAACCCCGCCGTCGGCTGGGCAACCTCGCGGCCTTGGACGCCCTTCCCTTTCTTCCCACCTCCTCCCCCTCGTCCTCCCCCTCCCCCCCTCCTCCTCCCTCCCGCTCCTGAGGAGGTGCGAGAGGAACGGCCGGCGCGCCGATCACTTCCGCACGCAGGCCTGCGTATACCTCGGCCCGTTTGCACGCCAGCCCAGGGGACCAACAACTTCCCCGGGGGTTCGGAAAATCGTAAAAATGGCCGCCTCGATTTTGCCGCCGCGCCGGACGTGGGGGAATCGCAGTTTTTCCTGGCAGGCGCCGCGGGCAGGGGCACGCACCGTGCGGTCCACGACTGCAGCCCGCTACCGGTCGGCAAGCGATAGTGTACAGATGCCGGGCGCCATCGTCTGTCCAGGTAGAGGTAGTAGTAGTGGTAGTAGTAGTAGTAGTAGTAGTAGTGGTAGTAGTAGTAGTAGTAGTAGTGGTAGTAGTAGTAGTGGTAGTGGTAGTAGTAGTAGTAGTCATGGTAGTAGTAGTAGTAGTAGTAGTAGTAGTAGTAGTAGTAGTAGTAGTAGTAGTAGAAGAAGTAGTAGTAGTAGTAGTAGTAGTAGTAGTAGTAGTAGTAGTAGTAGTAGTAGTAGTAGTAGTAGTAGTAGGAGTAAAAGTAGGGAGTAATAGTAGTAGTAGTAGTAGTAGTAGTAGTAGTAGTAGTAGTAGTAGTAGTAGTAGTCGTAGTAGCAGTAGTAGTAGTAGTAGTAGTAGTCGTCGTAGTAGTGGTGGTGGTTCTAGAAGCAGTAGCTGCTAGCAGCAGCCCCCGTCCGCTCAGCAGATCCCTTCCGTCTTGCCGAAGTACTTGTCCAAGTCCACCTTGGGTTTTTTCTCCGCGGGCTCAGCAGCGCCGCCCTCCGAAGCCCTCTTCGCGTCAGCAGCCGGGACGACGTTCTTCGCGCCAGCAGCCGGGATGACGTTTTTCGTGCCAGCAGCCGGGACGACGGCCTTCGGTGCAACTTTTTTTAGCTGGCCAACCGTGAAGGTGTGCACGCTCCCCTTGACTGCGTCCCCCTTCTCATTGCCCGACAGAAGCTTGACCTTGTACTTCTTGCCATCGGCCATGGGCTGGACCACGGAGGCGGTGTGGCCGCCGAACACCTCCTTTAAAGCCTTTTTGGTCAACACGAACTCGACCACATCGCCCTCCTGGGAACAATCAAGAAAAAAAAATAACCGCCGCCACCGAGAAACCATCGGGCGGGGCCGACCCCTGGGCGGTGGAACGCCTGAACGCCCCCTAACACTAGGGGGCGCTCGGGGGTGCCACCGCCCAAAGATCGGCCCACCCCCGTGGGGTTCTCGGTGGCGCACCTCTCTCCTGCTCTGAGGATAGAAGAATACACCATTTCACGCGCGAGCACGAGCCTTGAAGCCCTTCTCGTCCGCCGCCGGCTTCGCCAGCGCTCCGGGCGCTGGCCCCGGGGGGCCCTTGGCCGGCGCCGTGGCCCCCGGGGTCGCCTCCGCGCCGCCCTCCGGGGCCTCCTTCGCGGTCGGCGCCGCCGCGGCCGCCGGGCTCGCCCCCTTGCCCGCCGTCTCGCCCGCCCCCGGGCTCGTCTCCGCGCCGCCCTCCGGGGCGCCCGCGGCGGTCGGCGCCGCCGCGGCCGCTGGACTCGCCTCCTTGCTCGCCTCGGCGGCGGGCGTCGCGGGCGCCTCGGCCGCCCACGCCTTCAGCGCCTGGGCGAACGGCGCGTCGGCGTCCTTGGCCTTGGCGAGGGCCTCGGGCCCCTGCCGCTGCCGCCTCCCTGCCTCCTCCTCCTCCTCCTCCTCGCCCTCCTCCTGCCGCTTCGGCTTCGAAGATTCCGGGCCCCCTGTGGGGCCTCCAGAGGGGCCCGCAAACCGAACGAACAGCCCGCCCTGAAAAACGAAAAGCGCCCGTCTCACCGCCAAGATTTTTCCATTTTCGGGCCCCGGGGGGGCCCCGGGGCCCCTCGAGGGCCCCCCTCGTCCCTCCTCCTTTCCCCAGCCCCCCCTCCTCTCGCTGTCCTTGTGCAAAGCGGGACCTGCGGCGCGCAGGATGCCGTCGTACAGCGCGGCGCGCGGCTCGTGGAGGATCGGCGCCGCCTGCCGGGCCCGGGAGCTCGCCAATCCGCACTTCTTCGCGGACAGCTCCAGGAACACTCCGTCCACGATGTTCTGCCCGTGCCGGCCCGCAGCGCCCGGCAAGCCCATGAACTTTTTCAACATCTGCAACGTGCTTTTGACGCCGGCGTGGGGCACCAGGGACAAGTCGAGACCCGCCGCGCACGCGAAGCGAGCGGACGCCAAGTAGCCCGACTCCCCCCACGAAGAGAAGTCCGGAGAGACACGGGCGAACATCTGGGTGCCCAGGACGTCGGTTTTGCTCGGGAACCACTCGCGGACGCGGTCGAAGGCCGCCATGCGCTCCGTCTCCTTATCCTTCCCGAAGAGCAGCGACAGCACGTCGCCATTCCCGATGGGCCCCATGATCGTCGACACCAAAGTCAACTCCGCGGCGAGGGCGGCGGCCGCCTCGTCGCTGCCCTCGGCCCGCTTCGCCTGCTGGAGAACCGAGGAGACGATCTGCTGGCGCGTCCCGGGGTCCATCGTCTCGGCGCCCTTGACCTTGTGGACCAGGGCCTTGTTCCTGTCGGCCGTGAACTTGGAGAAGAAGGGGCTGCCCTTCAAGACCTCCCAAGCCGACCATCTCATGCCGCCCTGGATCTGCTTGATCTCGTCGCCGTCCAAGGACACGTGCTTCCCGAAATCCATGTCGGATATGGTGCACAACCCCATGGCCAGCTGCGGCACGACAGCCGGCCAAATGCCATGCGCCTTGCGAAAGTGCTTCGCAAAGTGGCGCACGTCCTCATACACCGGGCCCTGCAGCAGCACCTTCGTGACCCCGGCGTAGAACTTGAACATGTACTCGGGCGCCTCTGCCGTCTTGCATGTCTCCGCCCCAAATTTGCCGGCCACCTCCGACACGTGCTCTGTGAACCTGCACATCACCTGCTCGACGGTGTCTGTGTGGAAAGGATCAGGCGACCAATACTTCCCCGCTCTACCCGCCTCCGTGGCCTGGCCGAACATCTTCAGCGCCACCACCTCGTCCGGCAGGTCGGTATCGGACGGGCGCTCTCGCACTTCTCGCCTCGCCCGTTTTGCCGTCGCGGGCTCCTCGGCCTCCGGCGGCTGCGCGGCCTCCGCCGGCGTGGCGGCCTCCGTCGGCGGCGCGGCCTCCGTCGGCGGCTCGGCGGGCGGCCCGTCCGGCAAAGCCGGCGCGGACCCAGAACCCAAGCGGAACGTCCTCCACAGCTGCATCGTAAAGGAAGAGGAAGAGGGCGAAGGAGGAGGAAGAGCAGGAGAGGAAGGAACAGGGAGGAAGCGGGCCCGGAACCCTAGCGGTCCTAGTGTTCCCAGCGCGCAAGCGGACCTCGGCCAGGCCCATGCCGAGGTCGAGCATATCTACTGCCTTGTCGTAGCGTACCTGCATGTCAAAAAGCCACACGCCATCGGCCGGACAATTCGCGGGCAAGTCTGCGAAACCGCGCGGGTCCACCAAGTATTTCTGGGCCGCCTCCGGTACTTTAGGAAGCTTCACCTTGTATTGCGCCAAGTAAGGAAGTATCACCTCAGTAGACGAGCTCGCTGTGGCACTGTAGTTGGTGAGGTCGGCAGCCTGAACCCTACCAGAGCTCGACGGGAGACTGGCCGCCAGAGTCATGTACCGCTGGATGTACTCCTCGTCCTGGGCCATCTCCGCTGTGATCCCTGAACCGGGCCTCTTGGCCATGTCGCGGAGGGCACGCCCCGCGCGCTTCCGCGCCTCCTTGTTCTGCACGAGCTGCATCATGACGACGAGTCCGGGAGATCGGGCGGCCGGCGGCTCGCTGAAGGCTGACAGACGGTGCCCTTGATCCAAAACGGCTATCGGAGGCGTGCCCCCGTAACATATCATAGCATAAACATTCTCCAAAGCCGTTGCATAGCATAGCACTGCATGGCTCCTATACCATTTGACCGCATATCATAGCAGTGCATGGCTCCAGTAGCAAATCATAGCACTGCCAAGCCCCCAGATCATATCATAGCGGAACATACGTAGACGTGGACTCCCAGAGTACTGCATAGATCATACAACCGACGCCGAACATTCTTCACAACGTCGGCTCTCGTAGCATAGCACATCATACATCACACATCCGACGCCAGGAAGTGTGGACAGATGAGGTCCGGACCACTCCCATAATAAAAATGAAAGCTGTGGCCGCATAAAGTTCATGTCACAAGTGAGTAATCAATGATTTTACGCTCTGGCCAAGGGACTCGCAAGCGTTTCATCCCCAATTGTTGTTGACGGTCTGGGAGGGCCGTCGAAGGCCAGCACACACCCGAATCAATGAAGAACATCCCCTTAGGCCTCGTAGCCCTGACGAGGGCCAGAGGGGGGAAGAGGGATGAGGAAGGACGAAGAGGCATAGAGAGACAGAAAAGACTGGACGAGGAAGGGATCCAGGGATCCAAGGATCCAGGGATCCAGGGATCTAGAGATCCAGGGATCCCTGGATCCCTGGATCCCTGGATCCAGGGAGCCAGGGAGCCAGGTTGCCAGGGATCCAGGGATCCAAGGATCCAGGGATCCAGGGATCTAGAGATCCTTGGATCCCTGGATCCCTGGATCCCTGGATCCAGGGATCCAGGGAGCCAGGTTGCCAGGGATCCAGGGATCCAAGGATCCAGGGATCCAGGGATCTAGAGATCCTTGGATCCCTGGATCCCTGGATCCCTGGATCCAGGGATCCGGGGAGCCAGGAGCCAGGGGGATCCAGGGATCCAAGTATCTGGGATCCAGGGATCTTGAGATCAGGTTCCCTGGCTCCCTGGATCCTGGATCCAGGGATCCAGGGAGCCAGGGATCCAGGGATCCAAAGATCCAGGGATCCAGGGATCTAGAGATCCAGGGATCCCTGGATCGCTGGCTCCCTGGATCCCTGGATCCCTGGATCCCTGGATCCAGGGATCTACAGATCCTTGGATCCCTGGATCCCTGGATCCCTGGATCCCTGGATCCAGGGATCCAGGGAGCCAGGGAGCCAGGGATCCAGGGATCCAAGGATCCAGGGATCTAGAGATCCAGGGATCCCTGGCTCCCTGGATCCCTGGATCCCTGGATCCAGGGATCCAGGGAGCCAGGGAGCCAGGAATCCAGGGATCCAAGGATCCAGGGATCCAGGGATCTAGAGATCCAGGGATCCCTGGATCGCTGCCTCCCTGGATCCCTGGATCCCTGGATCCAGGGATCCTGGGAGCCAGGCATCCAAGGATCCAGGGATCCAGGGATCGGAAGGAGAGGGAGCAGGGAGGAGGGAGCAGAAGGTACGAGGAGGGAGGAAGGCCGCTATCGCGACGCTATCGGGACGCTATCGCGACGCTATCGGAACGTTATCGGGACGATATCGGCAGCTTTTCCCAGGGATCCAGAGATGAAGCCAGGAAATCGGCGAAAACGCCCCGACAGCGTCCCGATAGCGTCCCGATAGCGTTCCGATAGCGTCGCGATAGCGTCCCTCCTCCTCCCTCCTCCCGCCTCTTACCTCCCTCCTCCCTCCTCCCTCCTCCTGTTTGAACCCCTTTGAACGGTGGGCCCGGCAATTGTGGGGGATGCCAGCCCGTCGGGTCTGAGCTCCCTGGGAGGACTGACAACACAACATCCAGGGCTTAGATACCCTTAAAGCCTATTGCGTACTTGGCATTCCTCCCTCCTCCTCCCTCCTCTTACCAATATCTTCCCTCCTCCCTCCTCTTCCTCTCTTCTCCCTCCTCTTACCTCCCCCTCCCTCCTCGGTCCTCTCACCTCCTCTCCCCTCCTCCGTCCTCCTCCCTCCTCCCTCTTCTTACCTCCTCCGCCCTCATCCCTCCTACGTCCTCCTCCCTCCTCTTAACCCCCTTCCTCCCCCGTCCCTCCTCCCTCCTCTTACTTCCTCCTCCCTCCTCCGTCCTCCATCCGCCGGCCGCGCGGCCGGAAGCGCGGAGCCGGCGGGGCCAACCGGCCGGCGGGGCCGGCCTGCCGGCCGTCCGGCCGGAACGACGCCGACGACTACAACGACGACGCATGGTACGACGCTGACGACGACGACGACGACGACGAGGACGACGAGGGGAAGGAGGTAGATGATATGATTGCTGGATGAAACGGCCTCACGCTGGAGTGAACATAAACGTGATGATGATGACGACGATGATCACGATGATGTTTTTGCATTACGCAAGCAGCAACCATGCTAATCGAACACTTCGGGGGCCCAGCCGCGGATCTTGCGGTCTGCCTTCACGGACCCCGTCGACGGCCCCACGTCCCTCCGCAGAGCGCGCAACTCTGCCGCGAGGAAAGCCTTCCGACAGGCGCTCGCTTCGCTGAATCCGTGCTGGCGGAATCTCCAGATCATCCATGCTCGTAGACACATGTACGTCCGCCTCGGCTCTGCGTCGTCCCCGTCCAACGGGGCCGTTTTGATAGTCTTCGACATCTGGACATTCCCCATGCCGCCTTCGGACACTTTCTTGCACCATGTGTTCAATATGTTTATTTTGGCGTTGGGATAATCAGGGTGGTTATGTAATCTGAAGTATCCGTTTTTCCATACGGTGTAAGTGTCCTTCGGGGCCGCTTCCTTGCGCTCATCGTCGGCGTCTGACCCCGAGCCAGGGTCCTCGGCCTCCGGGTCCTTCTCCTCGTCACCCTCCTCCTCCCCCGCCGCCTCGTCCTCGTCGGCCTCCTCCGCCGCGTCCTCTGCGGCAGGCTCTGGATCAGAACATAAGCTCGCGATGTCGCTGGCCTCGCTCCTGAACAGTAAAGCCCAAAAAGTGTACTTTTGTCCGTTCGAAGCGACAGAGAACAAGCCAGGCGGCTGCTTGGCGAGCAAGCGAACAAACGTCGAACGGGCACCGCCAACGCGCACTGGCTGCAGTCTCTCCATGTCAAGGAGCCCCTCCAGAGGGGTCACACGCTTGTTGAGCTCTCGGCGCGCCTGTGTGGCAGAAGCCAGGTGCTCTCGAAACTCCGCTTCGTTGGAATCCAACCACTTGAGCCACTGGGCGTTCGTCAGGGGCATGACGGGATCATCGTCTTCCAGGCTCCGGAGCCTCGCTTTTGCCGACTCTCGGAGTGCAGACGCCTCGGCTCGGAGCGCCTCCCCGTGCTCAGCGAGGTACTCGTCTCGCATGCGTTCGTCCCCACACTGGACGAGTTGCCGCGTTTCCGTGTCGGAAACGCCAGTCTCCCAGTGAAGGCGCCCGCGGGGCCGTGCGAACAGCTCCGGCTTCCGCTGGACAGCCAAAGTCCAGAACGTCACGGTGAGGTCCTTTTTGGCCTTCTCCTTTTCGCCCATTTCGTGCGTGACGCGCTGCTCGCGCATCAACTGCATGCGCCTCAGGATTCCGTTGCGGGAGCACTTGGCCACTCCGCTCGTGCGTGTGGTTTCGTTCTTTTTCACAAAGTTATGCGCCCTCTCGGCGTCCAAACTGTTCCCCTCGGCGGAATGGAAAAAATCGAAAAGCTCCTGTTGAACACTGCGTGACAGTAGCCAAGAAACGGCTTCTGCGTCTGATCTCCCACGCTTGGCCTCCGTTTGAAGTGGCTTCGAATAACCAGTATCCAGAGTGGACGCAGCAAGGCCGATGAATGCCTGGGCCTCTCTTCGGGCGCCGTCCCCGTTAAAAGCCTCTACCATTTTCCACAGGAGCATCGGGTACTCCGCGTACTGCTGGAAGCGAACAACGATGTGGCCCTGCGTGAGCAGGAGGCCTGTCAGAGCACCAACGGCGTCCAAGTCCTTGTCCTGCGTCAGTAGCGGAATCATGGTTTGAAGGTCTCGGGACGTCGCCGCTTGCACGTCGCCCTGAGCCAAGCGCAGCAGCAGAGGCTTCCCGTGCACCTCCATGCTCTTGCGGGTTTGACCTGTGATAGACGTGGCGTGCAACGTGAGACGAATGCACAGCGCCGCCTTCCGGAGCAGTTGGCCGCAGTCTGGGCGCGTCAGGAAGGCCCGCACGGACTGCAACCTTTTCTGGTTGTCCTTCTGCGGGTTCGTCATGGTCAAAACGAACACGTCCTCTGGCTTCAGGCCCAGGAGTACAAATCGCAGCAACGTGAACACAGCATCCTGTCGACACGCCGGGATTGCTTCGGGCGCGCAGCCCCTGATCCAAGAGCAGGGGGCCCGCGTTGTGCTCCGATTCTCTGCCCCCTCCTCCACCCCCTCCTCCCCCTCCGCCTCCTCGCCCTCTCTTTTGCCTCGGCGGCCTCTCGCGCGGCGAGCAGGCGCGACGTCCCTCGAGCGCAGCCGAACGAGGGAGCGGGCGCCGCCATCGCCTGGGGGGATCGAGGTGGGCGCCCCGTGGCCCCCCCACCCACCCCCGCCCCTGTTCCCCCTTCGCCCGACGGACGCTTGGATCAAGGGTTGCTCGCCGCCAAGCTTTAATCCCGCGGCGGTCCCCAAAAAGCCAGAATCTCGTAGTGATCGGCTTGTTCTCCAGCTTGAAGAGCAAGCGGTACAGCAACCGGTACGCCTGGGCGTGCAGGGCCGCGCGCCCGCTCGGAGAGTCATCGGCGACTGTCTTGAAGGCACCAATGCCAGCATTGAAGAAAGCGCACAATTCATCAGGAAACGCCTGGGTACCGTACAAGAGTTGAAGCCGTCTGTTGCGAGCGCAGCCGTCACTCGCAGCGGCGACCCCGGCCTCTGAGGCGAAAGGGACGACCTCGAGCTTGTCAACGACAAAGCGGCGAAGCGCGGAGGCGAACTCCTCCAGGTAATCGCTGAGCAGGTAGCGAAAGAGACGCACGCATGTTCCTGCGAGCGGGCAGTTTTCCGAAGGTTTGGCCACCAACCCCCCTGTCACGGCGACCTGAACGCACAGATTGCTCTGGTGAG